TAGCACCATCCTCTCCCATAGGGCCTTCCCCTTAAGGGATGGTCTCCTACCCACAGAAAGTGAAAACCTGGGGAGCACGGCCACCCATCATCGTCTCTGCAAGATGGGGTACTCTAGTAAATTCCCAACTTAACTTCCCAAGGTGGATCTCTGAATTGTGCCTTCCGCTGATCTTTTCAAGAGAAATACTTAGTAACTCCTTGCAGTCAGAGGCATATTTGGTAGACATCCCCACATGAATACTCAAGAAAGGGCCGCCCTCACTCCGAACCCCAAGACTCCGAGTAACATCCTCAAGGGTAGGGACAAGCTTGCCACATCGCAGCGGAAGGGAACAGGTCTCTGGTCTATATCAGAGACATAACTACGTAATCAAAGCACGATCTAAGCTAAAAGGCCTGATCCGACAGACCTCCCATAAACCAATCCAGGCAAGAGCGTGCCTCTGCCCAGGAGTCAACAACGCCGCTCATTTGCGAATAACAAATAGATGGGATCTACAGTCAACAAAGAACTCTTGCAAATGTATATATATAGGATTAAAAAAAAAAAAAAAAAAAAGAAGAGAGGGGGGAGGAGCCATCAACCTGGAGCCATCAAGTTCTCATGCTTCATAAAAATAAATTAAAAAAATAATAATAAAAATAATAAAAATAATAAAAAAATAATAATAATAATCATCAACATCATCTCAATACAGGGGTATTCTGGTCATTCTGCACTCGAGAGTATTTTACACCCAGAATGGCAGTATGGTCATTCTACTATCCCTAGTTTATGGGGGGTAGAAACAGTCATTCAAAATTACCCTCGAAAAAATATAGTTCACACTCGAGGGTATTTTGGTCATTTTGCACTCAGAGGTATTTTGGTTATTTTACACCCAGAAGTGCAGTATGGTCATCCTACCATCCCTTGTTTAAGGGGGCAGCAACAGTCATTTGAAATTACCCCCGAAAAATAGAGTTCACACTCAAGGGTATTTTAGTCATTTTGCACTAGGGGTATTTTGGTCATTTTATACCCAGAAGCGCAGTATGGTCATCCAACCATCCCTAGTTTATGGGGGCAGCAATAGTCATTCAAAATTACAGCTGAAAAATAGAGTTCACACTCAAGGGTATTTTGGTCATTTTGCACTCATTTTACACCAAGAAGTGTCATCCTATCATCCTTAGTTTATGGGAGCAGAAACAATCATTCAAAATTACCCTCGGAAAACAGAATTCACACTCAAGGGTATTTTTGTCATTTCGCACTCAAGGGTATTTTGGTCATTTTATACCCCGAAGGGCAGTATGGTCATCCTACCATCCCAAGATTATGGGGCTAGAAACAGTCATTCAAAATTACCCGCAACGGGTAGAGTTCACACTCTAGGGTATTTTAGTCATTTTGCACTCAAGGGTATTTTGGTCATTTTACACCCAGAAGCGTAATATGGTCATCCGACAATCCCTAGTTTATGGGGGCAGAAATAGTCATTCAAAATTACCCTCGAAAAGCAGAATTTGCACTCGGGGGTAATTTGGTCATTCTCATTCCTAGCCTATTCTAGACTTGTCCACATCCTTGGACAACCATCCGCACCAAGGCTATCTCAAACCATCTCACGAGCATGTTTGTGCTTTTAACCGAACAGTTCACGAGCATGCCAGAAGCATTTTCGAATGAAGATTCCGAGCATGTCTGTGCATCTTTTTCAAAAAACATTTGATCGCAACAAAAGTATTCCATGAAATCGTTCCAAGTCATATTTTATTTCGAAAATTAGAAAACAATATCATTTTTTTTTAGGCCCTCCCAAGGCGAGGCAAGTAATGTGCAATCCTCAAAAAAAAAAAAAAAAAAAAAAAAAAAACAAAGCCAATATTCATTAGAGCATTTCATCAAACATTTCAAAAGCTGGAGGTTTACCTTCTCTTGCCCCTTTGTTCTCGAGATATGACCTGATCGGAGTGTCCCCTGACGTTCCTTGCCGTCCGTCCTCGACAATCAATCCGTTGTTCATTTGAAATGGAATTTTCGCAAGGAAAACCCAAGAGGATAGGGCTGAAAAGTTTTGATTTAAACAAAATGAGGGGGGTGAGACCCCAAAACAAGTGAAACCCCTGGGCTTGGCAGCACGCCTCGTGCCGCCTAGGCAACACGGTTCGTGCCGCCTAGGCAACACGGTTCGTGCCGCCCACATTTTCTCCAAAAGAAAAAAAACAAATTTTTTTTTTTTATGGGTGACACAAACCATGTCGCCCACCTCATTTAACAAAAAAAAAAAAATTCTGGGCGGCACGTCTCGTGCCGCCCGGGCTACACGAACCGTGTCTCGCACATCATTTAACAAAAAAAAAAAGAAAAGAAAATTATGGGCATCACATCTCGTGTCGCCCACCTCCTTTAACAAAAATAAAAATAAAAATTATGTACCTTGTTTAACCAAAAAAGAAAAAAAAATTTACATGGGCGACACGTCTTGTGACGCCCAGGCGACACATATCGTGTCGCCCACCTTTTTTATTTTTTTAAAAAAACAAAATTTACTTGGGCGGCACGTGACGTGCCACCCGGATGACATGAACTATGTCGCCCACCTCATTTAAAAAAAATAAAAAATTACATGGGTGGCACATCTCTTGCCGCCCGGGCAACATGAACCGTGTCGCCCACCTCATTTAAAAAAAAAAAATTACATGGACAGCATGTCTCGTGCTGCTCAGGCAACATGACCTGTTTCGCCCACTTCAGCTGCTCACCTCAGCGTTGAAAATAAATAAATAAATAAATAATTTATATGGGCAACACAAACTATGTGGCCCATCTCATTTAAAAAAAAAAAAATTCCTTGGCGGCACGCCTTGTGCCGCCCGGGCGACGCGACCTGTGTGCCGCCCACCCAAAAAAAAAAAAAATTCAAAAAAAAAATGCTCCATGGTGGCATGAGCCTAAACTGCCAACCAATTTAAAAAATGAAATAAAAAATAATAATAATAATAATAAATAAAAAAGACAATGCTCCTCGGTGGCATGAGCCTAAACTACCAACCAATTTTCCAGAAAAATTTCAAAAAAATTAAAAAAAATAGAAACGCTCTACGGTGACATGAGCTTAAACTGCTGACCAAAGTCTGATCCAGCGCACAACCACCCTATTTCAATGGAAAAACGTCAAACTCATGCGACGTTCAAGAGCCGAGACAGGAAAAACGTCATACTTATGTGACATTAAAGAGCCGAGATAGGTAACACCTAGCCCCGTAAGACATAAAATGTCGGATGTGCTCAAGGCACAACCACCCTATTCAATGTGTTTAGGGCACAACCACCTTGTTCAATGTGATCAGAGGACAACTACCCTATTCAAACGTCTAGATCCGTATGACGCTAAAGGTCGGGTATATCCAATTCAACGTCAAACTCGTACGATGTAAAAGAATCGAGACAGGTAACGTCTAGCCCCGTATGACGTAAAATATCAAATGTGTTCAGGGCACAACCACCCTATTCAATGTTGTTCAGGCCACAACCACCCTGTTCAATGTTCAAGGCACAACCACCTTGTTCAAACGTCTATCCCCATATGACGTAAAAAGGTCGGGTGTATGGTCCATCGCTGCATGACATTAAACTGCTTAATGGGCTCTATGGTTGCAGGAGTTAAAACTGCTAACTAACCTTGTTTTTCAAAATATCTTTCTCTTTTCAAAATTTTCACTATATGTCTTGTGATTTCAAAAACTTTAATTCCTTTGTTAAAATCGTAGCATGTCCTTGCTCCGGGTTCTACTTCAAATCTCCCCTGCCTTCAAAATTTCTAAAACATTTTTTAAAACAAAGGACCTTGGAAACCCGTACATGATGAATACTGCGTTTGCTGTGATTGCTGCGTTGCTGCCTCGTCTCTCACTTCGGATTCTGCCAAACAACTCTCTTCCAATAGAAAGTCTTTCCCTATAGACGGTCATAGGAAACCCTAAGGAGATCATGGAAAATGCTAGGGTTAAAAATTCAAATTGTGAAAGCCCTTGAAGTTAAGTGGCATGGCTAGAAAATCCAACTCAAGTTTTAAGCTTGTGTAACTCAACGACATCTCACGACGAAAGCCCTAAGAGAAAGATGCCCTAGGTAGGTGAGCTCGGTGAGCGCAATGACTTGGAGGGATAGTTGGTATACCCCCTGACCACGTGACTTCAGGACGAAATTTAAAATGTATGCTTTATCTCTGATGTTCACCTGCCTCCCTAAGGATATGGAATGCCAGAGTGTCTACTTCTTTGCCACTTGCCTGTCCCTTGAGGACAGGGAGTGCCAAAGAGGGGCAACTGTTGACACCTCATTTTAAATCAGGCAAATTCTATGATTTTTCTG